GTGTGTGGGCGTGTGTGTGTGTGTGTGTGTGTGTGTGTGTGTGTGTGTGTGTGTGTGTGTGCGTGTTCGCGTCGCGAGGGCGCGAGGCCGCGAAGAGAATCACGCGATGCGCATCGCGTGGCCGGGCACGGGAGGCCTCCGCCTGCCGCTCACCAGCCTCGATCTGGTCCCTGCCCCAGAGATCGACAGGCTTCGATCTTGATCCGCAGAGCCTCGGGGCATCGAGATCAGGTGATGCCAATCATCGGGGTACGGATATCGGGGGTGGACAGACCTCCTACCCTTCTCGTGGAGGACGATCAATGGAGAGGAAGCGTGCTGCCAACTAATTGCCTGATGTCTAAAACATGTGTTACAACTGATTCATAATGTTTCAAAACATGTTTAAAACATTTTCATGTCATTTTCCGACATTTCAAACACATGTTCAATTCAATGATAGGACTGTTAGGGTGTCCATTGTCGTGGCATCCACAATCCTACCCTGACACGTCGATTAGCGAATTGGCCGTTTTCGGTTCGCGAGAGGGCGTCGCGGCCGTCATTTTGCGGATCCAAGTCCGTTGGTTTCGGTCCCAGGCCTCTTTCACTAAAGGGAGATTTACTAAAGGGAGGTTTGTCCACCGCCGAGGGTACGTGCCAGGCTGGCACAGTCAACCCGCACAATAAGGCTGAACAGATTTCCAGGGTTACCCTTGCATCATTCCCCTTCGGCCCACCCTTGGCCGCTGTCGCTGGCCGCGCCCCGCCCGCCAAGTGTCGAGGTGGCCTTCCAAGGCCCTTGCACCCTCACAGTGGAGGAACACCCCGCTTCCTCCAGGGTGCCCTGGGGTTTCTTCGGTTTCCATGGCTTTGCGATGGAGCTCGTGACGTGCCCTCGCAAGGAATCAGTGGATGTCCTTGGGTCTCATGGCTGGGTTCCTCGTGGAAGGTCTCTCGTGGTCGAGCTCCTGCTGCATCGTGCGTCCCTCTCCTACAGTCGGGGCGCTGAAGAGAACCCTTTTCGTTTGGGAGGGGCTCCGTGTTCCTTAGTTGTTTTACCGCTTGCCTTAGCTTTACCTTCGGTTTTCGATCGTAAATCAAAGTTAAACTTAACGAAAACAGGGGCCTCGTTCCTTATTTAGGGTTTCTTAGGTCAACGCCCCGATTGTACGGGCCGACCGTACGCCGAGGACGAGGAGGGCGCCGCCTTCTTCGACATCTACCCGCGCTGCAGCCCTGCCGCCTCCGACGCCGCGCCCGCGCTCGAGCCCGGTGCGGCCGTCGGCGCGGCCTTCGCGCCGAGAAACCGGGCGGGCGCCGGGCGGGGCGGGGCGTCGGAGGACGAGGCTCGACCAGACGTAAGATTGTGTTGCATCTTCGGGGGACCTCGCATGTCCCAAAAATTGGTGTCTTTTGGGGGGCCCGACGCGTGCTCGATGCGGACTCGACGCGGATTTGGCGTGGATTCGACGCGGATTCGACACGGATTCGACACGGATCCGACGCGTCCGACGTGGATTCGACACGGATTCGACGCGGGCAGGACCGCGACGGGACAGACAAGGTCCCCCGAGGATACAACATAAGAGTTGCCTCTCGCCGGAGTGACCTTCGGTGCGGGCACAGGTGGTCCCCAGATGGCCGAAAGCAGAGCAGCGGCAGCGGCTTGCCCGCCCAGGCTTGGTCTCCCCGCGGCCCCCAGAAGACCGCGCACCAAGGGTCACTCTCACCCAGGGTCACTCTTGCGTGTCGCCGAGAGACGCGAGGGTCGGCTAGCGTGGAGACACATGCCAAGCATTTCTTGAGTTTCGATGGTTTTGTAGAGGGAAGCGAGACGTGCCCACACCAAACATCAATGGGCGTCCTGGGGTCTCAGGGTCGGGTTTCTCATGGGAGGTTTCTTGTGGTCGAGCTCCTACTGCACACGCAAGAGTGACCTTTCGCCGGAGTGACCTTTGGTGCGGGCCCAATTCGGGGCTCAAGAGACGGGGGTCAAGGCAAACTGCGGTCAGGCAGAGCGCCGGATCTTGCAGGACCTTGCAGAGCCAGGGGTGCACCGAACCAGGCTTGGGCGCAGGATCCTGCAGAGCCTGACTGGCCCAGGTCTGGACTGACCCGGGTCAGCAGCTTCCCGACCCAACGGGGGTCCCCCGATCGCCGAACGCGATGCGGCAGCAGCTCCTCGCGCGCTCATGTCTGGCCCCCGGCGCGCCCGCCAAGCAGCCGCGCCGCGCAACAGAGGTCCTGCTTTTGTCCAGGGGTCCCTCTGGCGTGTGGTCGAGAGGGGGGGGGGAGGTGGAGCGGAATCGGCGGCGCGCCAAGGGGGGGTCGGGGGAAGAAGCACGGGGACCACGATCAATCAAGGTGACGCGGGTGCTTCTGTTGCATCTTCGGGGGACCTCGCCTGTCCCAGAAATTGGTGTCTTTTTTGGGGGCCCGACGCGTGCTCGATGCGGACTCGACGCGGATTTGGCGTGGATTCGACGCGGATTCGACACGGATCCGACGCGTCCGACGTGGATTCGACACGGATTCGACGCGGACAGGGTCGCGACGGGACAGACAAGGTCCCCCGAGGATGCAACATAAGGGTGCTTGTCGACCCCGATCTTGGTCATGGTCCATGTCGACCGTCGCCTATTCTCGAGGATGATCGAGCTGACGCTAGCCAAGATCGACGTCGGCCAAGGTCGACATCCACGTTTCCGCGTTCAGTCTTGGTCATGGCCCACGTCTGCTTCCTCGAGAGGGGCGGGCCGCCTCGGAAGGCGGCGGGGCTTTTCGGAATCCTTCGCGCCTTCTGAGAGGGCGCCTCTGTCTTCGGAGGAGGATCTTAGCAGACTCCTCAGAGGGCGTGGGGGCCTCCGAGAAGCTCCGCCGCCTTCTGAGAGGGAAGGCCTGCCCCCTGTTGCTTCTCACCAGAGCCCGCTCCCGACGGAAGGGGGAGCGGACGGCAGGGAGGAGTCGATTTCGATCGACTCTGGCTCCGATCCGACGCGACTTCGGGTTCCGATCCGGACTTCGGCTTCTTCGTGGAGACATCACCCTGGCATCGCTCGGACGTGTGCGTTTTTTCTCGGCGAGGGCCGTCGAGGAGCACCCTTGATCATCTGGCGAAAAAAGCCACGCACGAAACCGAAAAAAAAACACAGGGAATGGACGTTCGAGCGATGGCCAGTATTACGAGCCTGCCGATCGCCGCCGAGGCGGCTCCTCCCGACTTTTGGGCTGCCGACGTCCGCCGAGCCGGCTCCTGCCGGTCGCCGACCCGAGCTGCCGATGCGAGGCTGGGCTCTCCCGGGAGGTGAGCGGAGGGGGGAGCGGAGGGGAGGGGGGGATCCCCCCCTCCCCTCACACCCGCAAAACGCGCAAGACAGCACAATTGTTTTGCATCGCTGCGCGACGACGGTACTACACTGTGGACCAGCCAAAAGCAATACATGACAGCAACACCGTAGCACATGATGCAGCCAGCCCTGACTACCCTCGGAGGACGCGGTGGGGTCGGTCCCGATTGCTTGGTACTTACTCAGGGAAAAAGAGCGGAGGGGGAGCGGAGGGTATGAAGGAACTCCAGAGGGGAAAAACCACACACACACAGAGACACAATGGACTGTCGATGCCCCAGAAAGTAGGGGAGAATATGGGAAGTGTGGGGGGGAAGACGAAAACCCAGGACATAAGGGAGCATATGTGGGGAATCCTGTTATCTGTGTGTATTAATTAATCGCTTCGCTCATTCCGCCGGCCCATATTGTCGCACCGTTGTGGGCTATCCGAGTTTGGGGGCCGTTTTGGGGCCTCTTGGGGCCTCTTTTGGGCCTCTTGGGCGCCTCTTGGGGCGTCTTGGGGGCCTCTTGGGGGCCTCTTGGGGTCTTTTTGGAGCCTCCTGGGCGCCTTCTGGGGCGGAGGGCTCGATTTTTCAGTTCTCGGTTCCCCTCTTGAGCCCCTCTTGGGCCCGTCTTGGGGCCTCTTGGTCCGTCTTGGGCGGCACTTGGGCCGTCTTGGGGGCCCTCCTGGGCCGTTCCGGGGCCGTCTTGGGAGCCTCGTGGGCCGTCTTGGAGCGGTCTTGGGGGCCTCTTGGGCCGTCTTGGAGCGTCCGGAAGCCGAAAAAGCCAGAACGCAAAAAACATAGAAAAAAACAATGAAAATCAACGATTTTGGCCTCTTGGGGCCCTCTTCGGAGGCCTCTTGGAAGGCCCTTGGGGCGTCTTGGAGGCCTCTTGGGCTGTCTTGGGGCCCTGTTGGGCGTCTTCGGGCGATCTTTGGCCGTCTCGGGGCCCTCTTGGACCGTCTTGGAGGCTTCTTGGGGACCTCTTGGCCCGTCCTGGGGCCCTGTAACAGAACTCCGGCATCTCTGGCCCGACCTTGCCGGGACCTTGCCGGGGACTTGCCGGGACCTTGCCGGGGACTTGCCGGGACCTTGCCGGGGTACTTTTCGTCCGGGGACCCCCAGGGGCCGCCCCGCGCGCGCGAAATACTGTTAACCAGGTACCGGAGATCTTAGCACGCCCTAGCCCGTTGGGCCGGCGAATTTGTGCGTCCCAGGGCCCCATTCAGGAACGGAGGGAAGGCGTACAAGTATATGAATCCACGCTGGTTTCGGGAGTGCGCGTTGTGCGAACGTTCGCAACACGAGGCTGCTCTCGCGGACTGCGGGGCCGGATTCATGTACATGGTTGGGCGCGTCGGTCTTGTCTGGTCGGGGTTGGACAGACCTCCTACCCTGACACGTCGATTGAGGAATTGGCCGTTTTCGTTTGCGAGATGGCGTCGCGGCCGTCATTTTTGCGGGTCCAGGTCCGTCGGTTTCCGTCCCAGGCCGTTTTCACTAAGGGGAGGTTTACTAAAGGGAGGTTTGTCCACCGCCGCTCTGGGTTCCCAGCGGCAGGGAGGAGGGGGCACGCGAGGGCAAGCCAGGTGCACTCGCGCCACATCTGAAGTCCTGCCTCTCCCTCCCATCCCTCTCCGCTGCATCGGGGATCCCAGAGGCAGGGGTCGGGAAAGGCATGGATCCCGAAAGGGCAACCTAGCCGGAGAGGATCTCAACGTCTGGTTGTCAAGAGTCGGCAGGGCATGATTGAGGTGGAGGGGGGAAGGGGAAGAGGAGGAGGAAGATGAGGAGGAGGTGGAGGAGAAGGAAGAGGATGGGGAGGAGGAGGAGGAGGAGGAGGAGGAGGAGGAGGAGGAGGAGGAGGAGGAGGAGGAGGGAGGACGAGCGAAGTCGGAGAAGGGAGTAGGTTGAATTGAGGCGACGACGAGGAAGGAAGGGGAGCAAAGGGAGTAAGGAGGAGGCAGAGGATACAATGGGGAGGAGGGGGAATGGAAGGCATGGAGGAGGGCGACGACTGGGAGGAGGCGGGAGCGTAGAATGAGATCAAGGACCACAACGGGGGAGGAGAGCGCGGATGACGACAACGAAGAAGAGGATGAGGAGGAGGAAGAGGAGGAGGAGGAGGACCAGTGTAAACCCAAGAGTCATCGACGATGTTGGAAGAACCGGGAACCGGGAATTTGAGCTTTTCCAGCCTCGATCTCTCCAAAATCATGGTTCCCGCCATCCTCTGGGCCGCCGTGAGTCCCTGGGGCGCCAGACAGAGCCGGGAACCAGGATTTTGGGCTTTTCCAGCCTCGATCTCTCCAAAATCCTGGTTCCCGCCATCCTCTGGACCGCCGTGGGCGCCAGACAGAGCCGGGAACCGGGATTTCGGGTTTTTCCAGCCTCGATCTCTCCAAAATCCTGGTTCCTGCCATCTTCTGGGCCGCCGTGGGTACCTGTGGCGCCAGACAAAATCGGGAAGCAGGAATTTGAGCTTTTCCAGACTCGGTCTGTCCAAAATCCTGGTTCCCGCCATCCTCTGGGCCGCCGTGAGTCCCTGGGGCGCGGGAGCCCGGATTTCAAGTTTTTCCAGCTTCGATCTCTCAAAAATCATGGTTCCCGCCATCTTCTGGGCCGCCGTGGGTCCCTAGGGCGCCAGACAGAGCCGGGAACCAGGATTTTGGGCTTTTCCAGCTTCGATCTCTCCAAAATCATGGTTCCCGCCATCCTCTGGGCCGCCGTGAGTCCCTGGGGCGCCAGACAGAGCCGGGAACCAGGATTTTGGGCTTTTCCAGCTTCGATCTCTCCAAAATCATGGTTCCCGCCATCCTCTGGGCCGCCGTGGGTCCCTGGGGCGCCAGACAGAGCCGGGAACCGGGAATTTATGTTTTTTTTCGATCTTTCCAAAATCATGGTTCCCGCCATGGTTCCCGCCATCCTCTGGGCCGCCGTGAGTCCCTGGGGCGCCAGACAGAGCCGGGAACCAGGATT